TTGTCACAAAATCAGATACATGTTCAACAGTTAATTAAAGCGTTTATTTTTGTACATATTGCATTCATTAAACAGGAAACTCAAAGCTTCTGCGCTACTAATTGCTATAACGTTAACTATTTCTCTAGCTTTGTTTCAGGAACTGATACAATATTTTCCCTCCATATTGTTATTTACAAAATCTCGGATCATTTATATTATTTTGAATTTCAAAACTTCATTTTTACCGATGTAATTTGCTTTCGCCTCCCATCTACAGGGATGTTAATTCTTCATAACGCCAAGTGAATTAAATCTTTCTTAAATTAACTTTAATACATTTAATATATTGATCTTGAGATGTTTATTTATATGTTAAAAATGTAGGAAAATACACTGACTTACTTTAACAAATATTTCATAAAATATCATTTTAGAAACGTTAAATTATTATTAAAGCTTAAAACTAATTAAAATTTAACTATTACATATTTAGTATCACAGATTCATTAATTTAGTAAATTATTTATTCTGAATTATTCTTCCTAAACAAAATAGAACTTTGATGGCTAGATTAAAAAAAAACTTTACTGTTTTACCTGAATGACAATACGTGGTAAAATAGTTTATATATTAGTCAATACATTTCCCAACATAAGATATCAGGAGAGCATCTTCAATTCTACGAATTGAGAAAGTAGATGTTATCTTTCATGACTTGTATGATGCAAATCGATTTTTAGTTTAAAAAATGTACGAATTCTATTTCGCTATGAAAGAGGAATGAATATTATTTCAAATATTTGAAGTAAATCATATGGTTGAATAAAGATTTATTAAAATGTGTGAAGTAATCACTGCTACTAGTGGGTCAGCTCTGTCACAACCAAGGAATTTGCACGGATCAGACAATCGAAAATTGGTGACTTGTAATGGACATACAAAAACTTTCAACCGCAAGAATATAAATATATCGGTAATCAGTCTCTATTAATCGTGTTGAAACAATAAATGTAATCGGAAAGACGGGTGAAAACTTCTTTGGACAGACAAGTGAGTTGGGTTTGGGCATCAGATGGGAGAGTCGTCTCGTTTTTGCTGCTCCCCATGAACCAACCGAGTGTTATGTTCAAGTGAACAATCATGATCAATTGTCCTCACTGATTGCAATCAATTCCTTTCATCATCCTCCAAATTATCTCTTAATGTTCATTTCTAGAGATGACTTTCTAGTGTTATCAACTTGATACAGTAACTGCAGATGAAGGTGATGCAATGCCACACAATTAGTAACAGAAATTCCAAAAGCAAATTTCCATTACCATCAATAAACGTGCTAAGCCCAGTTACTTAAATTTCATGACGTGCTGCAATTACACTGTTTTTGATAATGCTTCACACATTTCTATAGTCTATGGAATTCTCTGGTTATATTTGTTTGGACTTCCTTGCTCTCTTAAGACCTAAAAGTGACACTATCCAGGATTCTTATTTTTACTTTCTAGCATAAGGATTTCTTGGCAAATTATTATTAATTAATGAAGCTTCAGAAATCTCTTCTTTTTATTTGTGACAATAGTGTGTTTCTTTTCTTTATTCATTAATGAATATTTCTGTATAGTCTGCCTAGAATGTGACGACAACTTGATTTACCAAGCTGCCACTTCATTGTGGTATAGCCTAACCTACGACATGCTTAAAAAAAAGGTCCTCGCAGTAAGCACTCCGGAAATTCCCGAGGTTTCTCGGATTCAATCCCGGATTTCCATAGTATTAGTCTGACGCTTTAACCATGTCAAAAAGGCGACCGTATGACCGAGCGGTCGTGGTAGCCTACCGCTCTGGGAGACCCGGGTTCGAATCCGAACGGGTCGAAAAATCCCCCAGAAATTTTTCAGGGGGTGGTCCGTTCGGATATGTCCAACCCCTACCCTCACCTCCCGGAAGCCCCATCGTGGCCTGGCCGAACCCATAATGGGCTTGCAAAAAGAGGTCCCCCTAGTGCCCACAGGGCGGAGAGTTAAAAAAAAAAAAGTCAAAATTCGACCCACTGCCGTCAATTATTTTTGATTTCGAAATGAAAACGCTCAAAACGTTAACAGTTCCATAAAACGACGTCTTTTGTTCACTCAATAAAAAGAAAAATAATTCGTTCAACAATCATAGATATTTCTATTGTTCTAAAACAATTCGCGTCGCATAACGACTCGTCCAAGTAGATAAATTCGTCAATTTTGGAAAAAAATCGGAGCTCTCTTCTGTTGTTTTCCGAAAAGCGATGAATTATGGAGAAGATTTCGGACATAATGACCGAGCTGACGCGTTAAGCGGTGACAATTTCCATCTGAATCGATTTCCAGATTATCGAGAAATACATTTCCAATACGAAGTTCTGAATGCGGAACAAATTATGGAGGACATGAACGAGTGCATCTCCGAGGTGAACTGTATAACTCGAATTCGACCCGTAATCACTCGAATACTTCTCAATCATCTTCGATGGGACAAAGATAAACTATACAACATCTTTTTCGAGGGAGATAAACAAAAACTATATGAAGAAACCAAGGTTTTCGATTACAGTCACAGTTCACCTGTTCGAAAACAGAAGTTCCATCCTAGTTCACCACTTTCAACCTGCTTGATATGTTATGGCGATTATTCCGATTCCGAAATGGAAGAATCCGAATGCGGCCACAAATTCTGTTTGAACTGTTGGGAAGAATATCTGAGAACCAAAATACTAGCAGGGATGGCGGAAACGATCCGATGTGCCGGTCACCGATGCAATTCGTTAATAGACGACGACATGGTCCTCAAACTTTCGAGGGATATCAAGGTAAAAGAAAGATATCAGTACATGATTGCCGATTGCTTCGTGGAATGCAACCGCTTACTGAAATGGTGCCCTAGACCCGAATGCACCAACGCCATTAAAGTTCAGTACGTCGATTCGCAACCGGTCACGTGTACCTGTGGACACACATTTTGCTTTTCTTGCACCGAAGCCTGGCACGAGCCGGTCACTTGCGACCTGCTTCGGAAGTGGCAGAAGAAATGCGAAGACGACAGGCACACATCCAATTGGATCTCCAGCAACACCAAAGAGTGCCCCAAATGCAATGCCGTTATAGAAAAAGATGGCGGATGCAACCACATCGTATGCAAGAACCAGAACTGTAAAACTGAATTCTGTTGGACCTGCCTCGGACCGTGGGAACCACACGGTTCATCATGGTACAAATGCAATCGTTACGACGACGAAGTGGCGAAAACGGCCAGGAATGCTTTGGAGAAATCTCGAATGGGCTTGAAGAGATACCTGTTCCATTACAACCGTTACAACAATCACATGCAGAAAGTCAAACTGGAACAGAAATTACACCAGTCGATCGCCGAGAAAATGGAAGAAACGAAGGAAAGTATAACATTTATAGAAATGCGATTCTTGAAAGCAGCAGTGGACGTCCTTTACAAGTGTCGCCGCACTTTGATGTACACGTACGTTTTCGCTTACTACTTAAAGGAAAACAACCAAAGCCAAATATTCAAGGAAAATCAGAACGACTTGGAAATAGCCACCGAGAAACTATCCGAATATTTGGAAAAGAATTTGAGAGAAAATGTCATCTGTGAAGATCTCAAGAAACTCAAACTGGAAACACAAGACAAATCTCGGTACTGCGAAAAAAGACGAAAGGTGCTGATAGAACACGTTCACGAAGGTTACAAGAAGAAATGGTGGGAACGCTTCGAATGAAATTGCTTGCAGACTTTCGACATTTTTAATCAATTTCGTAGATTCTACGCTGAAAATATAATGGAAAAGCTTGCTTAACGAAAGAGCATTAAACCTTTTATAACTGTATTATCCTAAATCTTTACCAATAAATATTGATTTGGGTAAAATTCTTTTGTCGTTCTTGCTCTTTGTTGCATAATATAAATTGAGATTTATAAATCTGGTACTTTTTAAAAGTTTTGATTGAAGCAGAGCGTTAGCGAAGCCTCTTCTATATGGCTTCCAGAATTATGTTCGTTCTCAAAATTCGAAAGGATTTTGATAAAATGTTTCCATTTTCCATTAATTGCAAGGAGGAATTCTAAAATTATTTTTAAAAATCGGGGTTCATGATTCCTTTTTCGAGATACAATGGGGTCAGTGATAATGTTCTCTGACGCGATTCAGCGCGTATAACGGAAAATGGGCATGAAAACCAAACAAAACATAACAAATCATTCGACACTGATTGCTTTGTTCTTGGATCTCCTTTTTCTTTCCGGATCCACCTCAATTCTATCTTGATATAACAAACTTTCTTGATATCCTAGTAGATAAACAAATTATGGGGAGGAACGAAACAATGATTTCACTTAAACAAAAGCACTCGTCAGTCATGGTCTCTATACGTATATGTCAGCTGAACTATTCCTTCAATCTTAGCAGAAATCATTCACAATCCAGCATTTTCTATATTGAGAGCAATTTTAGTAGTAACAGAATTATAAGATAAAATTCTCTTTTCTTCAATGTTTCAAAGCAAACGATCATTTTTATTCTAGATTAGGTACTATAATATCATGCTTGTNCATAACACAACAAAGTAAACAATAATAAATCAATTTCATTAAGTATAAATACCATTTACACATTTTAAAATGTGGTATTCAAGTATGCCACTACGGTAAGTAATAAAAGAATAATTACATGCTTAAACAGGCTTCTTTATTTATGTGTATGCTGTAAGTGCTGAAAATATCAGCTTACATTCTTTCCAATTATAAACTTTAAACTGACATAATGTAATTTTGATGGTTATATACATTTAAAATTGTATTCTGAAGTATTTTAAAGGATATTCTCTAATTTAGAACAGGATCAAGACTTTTAAACAAGTTTTAATCCTGAAAAATCATATAAAATCAAGCATCAAGGGATTTAAATTAAAAATACATATAAAGAATGGAGGTTGCCTATGATAAAATATATAAGTAAAGAATGTTAAATTTTGTATACTAACCAATTATCCCACTGGCAGGATTTTAACTGAGTGAGTGTCATCTGAGAAAATAGCAAAGATATTCTACACCTTTCCCATTTCAAGTAATTTAGCAAAATCAAAGCTTTCACCAATTACAGCATATAAATTGGCTAATGTAAAACGACCTTAATTTCAATTAATAAACGAAACACAAACGTCAGTAAACATACGACACACTTTTAACATGAGGAAAAGAATTAAAGTTCTCTTCTACACGTGACCTCCACTTAGCAGGAGATGACGTCAAACAGGAAGTATTATCACTTCCTTTAAGTAAAAACATTATCTATGCGGTTTTTAAATTAATTTCTTAAATAAATTTCGAATTTATTAAGCTAATAAAAATGATAATTTGATCATTTATATATTAAAAAATATATATTTCATCGCAGTAAGAATAATAATGTATTAAAGAAATTGTATCTTCTAGCGATTCGTCTTCGCGATATCGCATCGCGTAGAGCTACGCGATTTCGCAACCATGAATAGGAAATGATTTGTAAAATGTAGATTTATATGTTTATATTATATCAAATTTAAGTATTTTTAACGGATGTGCAAGAAATACATTATTATTATTTATTGCATAAAGTAAGTAGTTCGCTTCGCGTCGCGTCGCAAAGAGGTCGCAGTTCGTGCGTCGCGTTTACTTAAAAATACAAATAATAATCATCTTGTAACATTGAAATGCGTTGTAACTGAATTGTTTAATAAATTTTGAGCCGAGTGGGACACATATATAATATAATATACGGAAAATAAGCGATAAAAATTAAGTACAGTATAGTACAACGTTACGCAACGCGGCGCGACATCGCAACAATGTGTGACAATGACAATGAAACTTAAATGAATTTATATTGCAATACGAATGTGTAATTATTTTACTATCATTCGTTCCATTATTTATTACTTTATCGTGTACAAAAATTGTTAAAAATATAGAATTTGTGTAATATTATAGGCCTAATTATACTCCCAAACTATAGAAAATTCTATGTAGGCCTGTTTAACCGACCTTTACTACTTCATATAACTGTTTACTCATCTATGAAAAAGTCTTCTAAATTTTTTCATAGATGAGTAAACAGCATATATAGAACTCATAGATTTAATCGTGGGATAAGGAAAAGGTCATTGACCATGTATTAAAAAAGGAAGAGGAGGATAGTTTAAACCTTATATTCTATTGCAGCAGGTTTATAAATTACTGTACAGTATAATAAAAAAAGTAACTGTAATCAGCTTTATTTCATAAAAAAATAAAAGAAGATTTAAGTAACATTATATGTCACAGGGATATTTTAATTATGTCATATCAGATAAGAGAATTTTTGTAATCATTCCATAAAACCATTTAAAAAATGTATGTACAGTACTTTCCCAACTGAAAAAAAAAAAAATTAATTTATAATTCTCTCGAAATAGAATATTTTCCTCAATTCTTATTAATTGAATAACAAAAATTTATATTATAGAATTATATATATATATACAGTATATATGTTCATAGAATTGATCATCATCATTTATGTATTTTCCGTGAGTTGTGAAATTATCTTGTGAATACTGTATTCCTAGAACATTTGACTTATTAATAGACGGAATTTTCGTTCATTTTTAATATCTTAACATGTGATTTTATTTGATTATGTTAAAATTCAATTTATTTTACGATATTTTATAATTGCAGGTAATAAAATTTGGCATCAAAGTTACTTAAATTAATCTTTCTTGCGACCCTCGGTGGGCAAGTGAATAAAACCACCGAAAATAATTGGTTGTAGGTTAACGAGCAGGCCACGTGAAGTTCTCCGCGTTTCTTCACGTGTCTAACATCTGAATAGAGACAAATTGTCTGCAGAGAAAATCCTTCCGGAAGACATCCCCTCTTAGCAGATCGCTCATATGTTGCGTTGCCGTATCCATCGACCCATACTAAACAAATCTTTGGTGCCGTATATTAACTATGTAAATAGTTTTGGAGCCATTTTTAACCCCCCAAATTTGTATGCCACTAATATCACTAAAAAGTCCACGTAGACAATGCCCGGACCCCTCTCCCCATCGTGTACAATGATGTACTTTTCGTGACCCCTCTCCTCCTTAAATTGTACACGTAATTAATGGACTGCCCCTTTATTACAAAGGAAAAAGTGTCCTTTGTTTTGGAATAATTGAAACAACTTTTCCTGGTAATATAATATACTGTTTCTACATTTTTACGTAATTCGCAGATGATGTATAGTGTTTTTTTTATTTTTTATTCTTGTACTGATTAATGAATGTACAGTACTGTACATCTACGGTATTCTCAGTACAATATCATTCATCACAGTATCAATATCATTTCATTGATATGTTTGACATAGTTCTGTAGTTTCATAATTCAAAACTATAATATTATACGTCCATCCTCCTGATTTATGAATATAATATATTAAAACATTAACTAAAAACGCAAACTTTCTTAATCGATACTAAAACTACCATTGATTTAAATGGAAAAATTATAATGCGCTCCAGAATATGTTATTTAAAAAAATTAAATCATTTCTAAAATATACTGTTAAATGTTTTATCATTTATAAAATAAAAAATATATTTTTATTATCAAATTTTTATTTGATGGCCGAACGGCCGAGCGGTTAAGTTGGCAACTTGTTATATGGATTGGGAATCGAATCCGGACAGGTCGAAACAACTCCAGGATTTTTCGGGGGGGGGAGGTGATCCGTCCGGATATGTTGGGCCCATTCCCCACCACCATTGTGGGCTTGCTTAAAATAGGTCCTCTTAGTAGAAGGCAAAATGTTTATCTAGCAACCCTTACTATTAGTACGTATGACGCGATATTAGAGGTATTTGTAGTACATATTTGAATTGTTTTAATTAATTAGATATTCGAAAGATCTCGAATACTTTCTAGTGTTCGAGTATTCGCCCATCTCTAGAACTTAACTGTGCCCTTTAAATACTTTTCAAATTCTTCTAAATCGATATTGAACCCACTGGATAGTGTCTGAAGAAATCGCCATTTTTGAAGGTCAGAACAAAATCCAAAGAAATTCTCATAGAGATATTTTTCAAAATTGAGTAAACTTAAGTATTTTCAAAATATGTTCTCTCGCAGTAAGTCGAAATTCTGCGCGTAAAGGGTGAATTTTACCATAGTTTCTTTAAGATCTAAAACAATTATTTACGGGTCACAACCGAAAAAAATTCATATCATTCAAAATTGTAAGTAAACGGGCATGATTTATTATTAATTAAATTATAGAAAAATGTATCTATTATGTATAGTAAAAAACCAGAAATTATACTATTGACCATTCTTTTTTTTTAAACTCGTTAAGTTCAAATAAAGAAAATCTGGATAAATATTTTAAATATATAATCAACACCTTATCCTTCGCTGAGAGATTATTTTTATTAAAACAAACGTTTTCGATCCATTCATTGGATCATCTTCAGGTTAAATAGAACACTTCATAAATAGAACAACACGTTTAAATATTCAAAAATACAAATAAACCGATAACATAAAAATAAATAATACTTGTAAATAATACAAATATTCAAAATAAATAACATAATACCAATACTAAATATTAATACCGTCTGCCTAACTATATAGAGTTTACTATGTATCATACTAAATTTCATGCGCTTTTTGTAAGCTTTTAACCGCAAACTTCCAAGCGGAAGGAAGACCCTCCGCATCTCTTGCGTTAATACATTTTTCTTCAAGTTTGCTTCTATAGATTTCTATCTTTTCAGCTGTTCTTGCCAATGCCGGCGAGTGTATCTGTTTCAGGATTTCGGCTTTATCCCAATGTACCAATGAACCTTCTGCCTGCGCCATCTGGGCCAATACTGTCGCATTAGAACCTTTTCTAATATCATATTTGTGTTCTTTGATCCTTAAACCTAGGTTTCTAGTTGTAACCCCTACATATTCTTTCTTAATTCCTAAAAGCTGGTTCTCGTAGGGAATCTTGTACACACCCGCCTTCTGAAAATATGTATGGTATGATCGTTGCGTGAAAACTGGAGTGTGGCTTATTCCCATTACATCACGATTTTTCACGTAATAATATGAATGTTCCTAGACGGTATCCAACATATTATTAGTGGTAATGGCGATGACCCATCTTTTTTCCTAATCTGAAAATTTCCGATTTAAAAAATGTTCAGCTATTTTCTAAAAATCTCCTCTGTGTGAAGTGTGTAATCCATTGATATGTTGATAAACTTGTAACAGGCTCGCTTCAGGGGAGCAGGGAGAGACTGTGAGGAAGGATAAACGGGTGTAGAATTTCCAGAAATCCTGAAGTTCCAAACAGTAATTTGGTTCGCACTAAAAGTCTTTTCCGATTTTTGACGTACTATAGTGTCTGTGACCAATCTTTGGTTTATATTTAGCCACAGTTTTACAAAAGCAGTGGTGGCGGTGTGCCACGGCAAAGCCCTTGTACTTTATGAACATCTATGTTGAATTTTAGATTACCTCGGCCAAAATAACAAAATTACTTCTCACACATTTTGATTTACGAAGCCTAAATTTTATTTATTTATTTTTTTTAGTAACTTCAGTCGTACGGATACAATAATAAAGTCTACGTATTCAATTAAGATATTCGTGTGATTGAAGTTTGTTTTATTAAATTACGGCAACGCAACAATTGGGCAATCTGACTAGGGGGATGCCTTCCGGGAGGTCTTTTTAAGGGTAACTGGCCCCAATTGAGGCGTTAGACTTGGAGAAAACCCGGAAAATTCCACGTGGCCAGCCTGTCCTGGCAAGGCGCAAACCCACGAACGAACTGCGTTCAGGAAACAGAACCGCTTGGCCACTGGTAAGCCGTGATTGAAGTTAGTAAAAAAAAAGCCAAAATTTAAGCTTAGTAAATCAAAATAAACTAATAACGGAAACGATTAACCAAAGTACTTCTTACACAGTTTATTTTTATGCTGAATACGAAAATATAGATTATTTTGGCCATTAAGCCTTTTTGCAGATATTGTGCCACTAAGTTGCGCTTTGCCCATACAAAACTCCATAGACTGTGGCGCCTCCACAGGCAGTGGCGATTCAAACTCGGGGCGCCGTTTGTCTCCCGTAGCACTTTTTAATTTACTACTACTCCCAGAAAGTATAGCGTCTCAATGTCTTAATTCTTCTTCTAGTATATTGATTGTCACAAAATCAGATACATGTTCAACAGTTAATTAAAGCGTTTATTTTTGTACATATTGC